CCAAGGAGCCCCCAGGAGCCAGAAGCCCAGGCGCTGGCGCTCTGGTCATTGGCAGACCCATCCCATATCCCTCAGGGCCAGCACACAGGTCAGGAAACACTTCTGAAGTCCTTTATTGGGCCAGCAAGGCCAGGAGCTGCCCTTCGAGTGGGGTCCCGTCTGGAATCTTCAGGTCAGTGGTATCCCTGCCCGTTCTCACCCATAGCAGGCAGCCTCTGCTGACTCACTACCTGGTACGTGCCTTCACATATTCCCAGCCCTCCTTGGAGTACTCGCAGGCCTTGGAGGGGGCGACAGACAGAGCTGAGATCACTGTGATGACACCTGCAGGAAGGGGTATGGCCACCCAGTGAGTCCCCTACTCAGCCTTGGCCAAGCCCCAGGAAAAACTCTTAGGTTGTCAAGGTTTTTGTAGAGGAAAACTGAGGCAAACAAGAGGCAGGGCCTTGTCTTGTTCACAGGACAAGCCCTGACGAGAACTCTTATATTCTACCTGACAGTGCACAGACTAGCCCTCTAAGGAGACTCCTTTGTGGTCCCCTCCCTGGAATCTCCACTCCTCTGATCAATAGGAGACACATACAGAGCAGAAAAAAGAATAGACAAAAAGGAATGGCCAGGAAGCAAGGAAGGGTGATAGCCTGGGGTATCTGGAGCTACTTCCCAACCAGAGGAACTGGGGGGACCTACCTGAATTCCAGGAGTCACGGATGGGAAAGGAAATCTTTGGAGGGGCTGGGAGCTGGGAAGAGAGACAGAATGGTGAAAAGTGCTCAGACCTTGGGATCATGCCACCCCCCAAGGCAAAAGATACCAAGCAGGGCTGGAAGGACCCCACAGCTGAACTCCCACCAAGTCCTGGCCTTGCTCCCAGCTCTCCATACCTTGGGTATTTGCAGGCCTGTCTGGTCACACACGTACTGGCCGAATTGATACATGGCCGGGGGAACCACTTCCCCAGCCTTCCGCAAGGCTGCCTCGCTCTTGTCGCTGGGCCCCAACAGTTCCTGGTCGTACACAAGGTAGACGGCGCCCCCAGCAACACTGCCCTTGATGAGGAGCCTGCAGGAAGGGAAAGAACAGAAGCTCAGTGGACACTGCTGGCCCACAAGGAGAAGTTAGACCCTTCTGGGGGCTCGCAGTTCAGAGTGACACCCCGTGGCATCACACACACACAACGTACAGTATGCAAAGCAGGGAGACTTACCAACACTTTAACTGGCAAAGTGACGTTGGGAGAGGAATAGTGGGTCACTCCAGGTCCCACAGAGAACAGGGATAGTGAAGACGTAAGACCTCTAACTTTCTAGAAGACTTTCATCCCAGGGAGGGACTCTCCGCGAGCAACCCAGGGGTTTTTCTAAGTGTCCTTCACCGCTTCCCGTGAAACACTCGCTGCTCTGCGCGCGCATTAACCTCCCCATCACCCCGAGTGGCAGGTTTCGCCAAGTTTCCCACTTCGGAGGGGTCGCCGACACCTTGAGTGACACGACAAGGTTCGCCAGGGGGAAAGCAGGCAATTGGCGACCTTGGGAAGCCCCAACCAGCTTGTGCCTCGGTTTCCCTAGGTGGGCCAAGAGTGTGAGGAGGGGCTGACACTATAAAAAGAGAAGAGCAGGTCGGGACCAAACCGGAGGGGAGTGCCCACTGGAGGGGGACGTGCTCGGGTCTCCGGGCGCGTCTCCGGCGTCCTCACGCACCTCATCAGCGACCACACACGAGCCACCATGGTCGCTCAGCTCCGCGCGCAAGGACACCCGACTCGCCCGCCGCTTCCGGTCGGGAAGCCCCGGCTACTTCTGGGCGGGGTAGTCTTTCTTGTCAGCCGTAGAGGCCTCCGGGAGTCCGAGTCTCGTTACTTACTGCTCAAGGGCGTCTGCGAGATGTACCAGCCGCAAAACTGTCTGGGAAACGTAGTCGGTACAGCCCTGTAACCGCCTGTTCGCGAAGCTTCCTGGGAAATGTAGTCGCCCTGGTGGCGAGAGGGGAAACAGACGTCGCGTTTCTTGAGTTGAAGTCTGAGTGTGATCCGAAAAGATGTTGGAGCCTAAGCGATCCCCCCGCGCCCGCGCGGGAGACTAAAGGCCAGGACTTCGGAAGAATAAGCCTAAAAGGCGGTCGTCACGGCAACGCGGGGTCGGGATTGTTAGGGAGTCCTAGGTTACGTGATCGCACTCGGGGTGGGGCTTCCGAGTAGTAGGCGGGGCCGAAGCCAAGCCTGGGTAGGAGAAAGCCTGGCGGAGGCTGTTGCCTGGCAACGCTCGGGCACGGGGTCCCCACGGCCCGGCCCCTCCCTCCCTGGAGGAGGCGTGCCTGGAGTGCTTCACTTGACTCCCGCCCTACCGGGAAGGGAGCGCGGTCCAGGACCTAGCCAGACGAAGCCGTGGAAGGAGACCTGAGGACGTTCGCGTGGCTCCCAGCCTGGGACTCGGCCCCTCAGGATAGTGGGGGAAACTGAGGCCTGAGTGGGTGAGTGCGCGTTTTGGGGCCCTGGAGAGGTCCAAGGGACCAGTGCGTCCAGCCCAGGATCTGATCCCCTCCCGTTTTTCCCGCATCCTACATCCCAGCCCACTTACTTCAACCTTTAATCTGCCCATCCATCCATCCATCCCGCCTAGTGCCTCTGCGCGTTGCTGCGGGAATGGCTGGAAAAGGGTGAGGAGTTGGCTCGGCGCCTGTGGCTCAATTGGCTAAGGCACCAGCCACATACACCTAAGGTGGCGGGTTCAAATCCAGCCCGGGCCGCCAAACAACAA